GAACGCTGTATGATCGCACAGGTCGCGGTAAGAGCGCGGTTTTTTTTCAAGTTTGTAATTTGTTGGGACTTTTTCTCGCGTTGTGTTCGCGTTTGCCGGCGACCTTGTACATTTTCTGGTCGCCGTACAGTCGCGGATGGTCGCCGTCCGGTGTGACGGGGGTATAAGGGACACTTTCACCATTTCACAAGGGTAACAGTTATACAGTTTTAAAACCGTCTCTATAAAACAGACACTTCAATTTAATGGACACTTTTGCTATTTCACTTTAATGACAGTTATACAGTTAAACCGTCTCTATAGAACCGGCACCTTGCTATAAAGCATGCTTGACATTGCCTGACGGCTTGAATGTATACCTTCATTGTTGAACATATGCCTTCGTCGTTGAACATATACCTTCGTCGTTGAACGTATATCTTTGTCGTTGAACATATGCCTTCAGCGTTGATCGTATACCTTCGTCGTTGAACGTATACCTTCGTCGTTGAACGTATGCCTTCGTCGTTGAACATATACCTTCGTCGATGAACATATACCTTCGTCGTGGAACGCGTGCCTTCGTCATTGAACGTGTGCTTTCGTCGTTGCAGATCGCGGAGTTGAACACGTTCTTCTTGAAGCACATCCTGGAGGTTCCGACGGGGCATCCGCTCAGCGTCGGCCGCATACTGCTCATTGCGGCGATCTCCGCGCCCTCGCTGCGCCAGTACTACACCTACGTGACGGACCCACACTGCAGCCGCGTCGGCACACAGTGCTGGGTGTTCTGGTACGTTCTATTGTCGCCGTTCTCTAGTCGCCATCGTGTGTGCTCGCACGCTCTAGACCCGTAGAAATACAGTCCAACTGGTGGTGCGGGACACCCGTAGAATGGTCACCTGTGTATTAAAGACATTCGTCGCGTTTCTGTCGAGCGGCGATGATAAAAGAAAACTACCTCTGTAGAACGGTCACCTGTGTATAAAGGACATTCGTGGCGTTTCCGTCGAGCGGCGATGATAAAAGAAAACTACCTCTGTAGAAAATTTTTCAAAGTTCCGGTTCCGGCCGGAACCCTTCAGGAACAGTCGGCTGGAACCGGAACTTTTTCCTAATTTCATTTCTGCTACAAGCGTCATCAAGATCAAAAGATCAGACACTGAATGTAGTTGAGCATCAATAGAGTCAACTTGCTGACAATATAGTGTTAACAACTTCACACTATTCTGCCCAGAAAACGTTTGCCACTTGAACATCAGCAAACTAACTGAACTGAACCTAACTGATGTTAGGTGATTCACAAGATTTTCTTTTAAAATAAAATACTCTTAGAGCCACAGGAATGGCATCTGTTTGTTAGTTGAAAATAATCGACGAAAACCAGGGATACTGCAACATGCAGGTTTTGCCACACAATTAGCCCGTGAATAAGATGCCAGAATTATGCACTGTAAGCAGATGATTCATACAACTAACAACCATCCTGTAATTAGACCTTTGTAGCATTGAGAACAATGAGAACAATGTAGAATGTGAACATGTAGACAATGAGAACATGTATATAATGAGAACATGAGAACATGAGAACATGAGACATAATGAGAACATGAGACATAATGAGAACATGAGACATAATGAGAACATGAGACATAATGAGAACATGAGACATAATGAGAACATGAGACATAATGAGAACATGAGACATAATGAGAACATGTAGAACAATGAGCATTGTCCTACTCGCCTGAGTGATGTGCCTGCTAATAATATTTCGTTCAGGCCGAGTGAGTTTGCACAATACTGGGCCAATTAAAACTCTCAAGTTTATTCCCAGCTTAAGTTCCGATTCCGGCCAGGTAGTTCTGGCCGGAACTTTTTTCAAGTTCCGGCTGGTTCTGGTTCCGGCCGGAACATAAAACGTTGGATCCGGTGCACCCCTACAAACGTCGCTATGACCAAGCACAAATATAAGCGATATGCACAAGTATACAATTCTATCTACATGCACACATGTACGTATATAGGACAGAGCTTTACGAGCTATCACGTAGATATAACAATGAACCTACAATACAGATGAATTCAAACCACTATATAGGCACTCCTCAGACTCGTTTATCGACAGGCATCCAATTCTACGGAGGTGGTTTTCTTTTACCAATTGCCGCTCGAGGGAAATGCCACGAATGTCCTTTATACACAGGTGACCGTTCTACAGAAGTAGTTTTCTTTTATCATCGCCGCTCGACGGAAACGCCACGAATGTCCTTTATACACAGGTGACCAGGGGATCCGGCTGGAACGGTGCACCTCTAGACGTTTGTACATGCTAGACACGTGGGTTCGTATCTGCATCGCTCATGACTGCGTTTGCGTTACTGCTGACTCATACGATCAGTTGCACCTATCTCTCTGTAGATGTAACTTCAAGGTTTGATGCAGTTTTTAGTGATAAAACTAGTTAGTTGATAGCTATAACTGCAGGTTGTAGTGATTCGGGGCTTTCTTCACGTTCCAGCGCCGTCACTCTCACGGAGGCTCTCATCTGCGTGAAGCTTGGTGCTGACTTGTTCGCTCTCACCGAGGCAACGAGCATCGTCGGCTGGCTACTGTTCATGGTGGGTACACTCTACATCGATCCAGCTTCCCATGCTGTGTCCGCCTCGACGCCGATACGAATCGCCTGTTATTCTCAACATTAGTTGCTGTACATGTAATTCTTGAATCGCCCATTATTCGTAACATTGGTTACTGTAATTCTTGAACTAACAGCTGTGCATTTGTTTTTTTGTTTTTTTTGTAGATGGCACTGAGCGTGATCTGCGTGTACCTGTGTGTTGAGTACGCCAGGTGGCAGAATGTAAGTTGTTTGCCAGCTGTCTTTATGTTAACTTTGATATATGTATCTGTCATGTTCCCCAAAAAGCACGAATGCTTTATGATGGTAGGACAATCTATGTATAAATTTGCAGAGGCATTTTGTATAAAATACTCTCTATAGCACATTTAATGGTTACGTTTTGTTGTATCCTTGCTTTACGGAAAAGGATTTTGACGTGATGCCGGTAAGTAACTGATAAAATGGACTCTCCTTGCTTTCTTTACCTGCTTCATATGTAGTCCCTTTCTTCCTTATGTGTACACCTACTGAAATAGAACATGGATCGTCTTTCGATTGAAAATCAAGCTGGGCCATAATATCGAGAGGGTTTTGAGTCCGACCGTAGCTCAGGCAGCACGACGCACACCTGTGTTTTCCTGAAGCCTGGATGCAGAGTGCGTGCAGTGAGAGAGACAGTAGTGTGATTCTCTTCTTTGTTGCGCGTGTAGGAGAGGCTCAGGCAGGCCGACGAGCGCGCGGAAGCAGCCGCCCGGGAGAGCTCGCCGAAGAAATCTCGCAGCTTAAACTTCGTGCAGGAGTACGTCGACTCAAATCCCGTGGAGAACGGCGAGCAGGGAAGCCCCGGTAAGGTCAAACGAAGGTCGAAGGCTGCGAAGGGAAAGACTGGAACGTGATGGGCTCCGAATCGCAGGGAAGCACTGAGTTGCTTGCTGCAATCGTTACGGGGTTGTGTAGAGACAAGTGCAGACAAGTAGAGACAAGTTGGTTCACTAGCAGGCTGTTTCGGGGACACGTGGAAGATCGTGAGCTGAGCTGTTAGTTGGAAGCGCATGTCAGCGACGATCAGATGTTCGTAGAAGGTACGCTGACCCTTCACTAGTTAGCTAGCATCCAAGTCTACTGCGTAATCCTACTGCCCAATCACAAAGTCACTCACGGCTGCAGTAACATGTTAGCAAGAAGATGTTGAGACTCGAGAGGTAGGGTAGCCTTGAATTAGAGTGGTAAAAAACTACTGTAGGCATGGTCTGCAGTGTGGCTTAATTCTCGGTGCTCAACTTGGTGAGAAAATTATTGCTGTATGTTTTGGAGATGTAGGTAATGTCAAAGGTGAGGAGTGTCCATTGAAATGTGGGAGTTGATGGACGGGTCGCGTTCGTTTGTTATGTGTTGTTAGAATTATATGTATGCTGTTAATGCAGACCTGCCAACCCTTACGATTTTTTCGTATTCCTTACGAATTCCATGATGTTTCTACGAATGTACGATCAAACTGAAAAACTTACGATTTTTTACGACTTGTGAAAATTAATATTTTTGACATTGTGAGCCGAGAAATATCTGGCGATTGTGGGCGCAGCCATATTGGATCCCGCGAGAACAACGTGAACTATTGATCTAGAGTTAGTCCCATCATTCATTGCGCGCATAACATACAAACAAAATGGCTGCCTGCTGCAAGAAAAGAAAAGCCTTACTATTTTCATGAATCACAGGTTGGCAGGTCTGTGTAATGGAGATAGAAAGGAGGTGTATGTGTTGCTACCATGAAGTGTTTTTCCCTGTGTTAAAAGAAAGTTCCCGATGACAAAATGACGGCCCTCTGTTCTAGTCCCATTGTGTCGTTCTGTCACGAGCACACTTTAGTGCCAAAATAAATCTCGGTCGAAAAAGTAGAGGCGATGTTTAGTTGTGGGAAGTTGAGATCTTTTTATACGCACAATTTTGCTGGCAATGTAGGCATGGCGGTGACGTGTTGTATTATTCCAGTGATTGCTCCGTTTTGCAATGTTACTTTGCATCTGTTTAACTCTCATCGGCAAGTTAATGTGATGTCTTGTCACACCTTGCTGTCACTCGAAATTTCGACTGGAGGTGTAAATTGGCTTTTGATCAGAGGAGCCAATGGATTCCATGCCCTGGCATTCGTTTGTTAGTCGTCTCTCTCACGTCACTGTAATCGACAAGTATATCAGCGGCGCTACTTAGCCGTGCCTACGATTCCATCTCGTGTGTACTTATTTCTTATTTATGTGAATGATTTCTTATATGCATCAAAAGGTTAACAGTTCCACGCACACTGCCTTCCCCTCGCAAAGTGCAGCCGAAGTCAGTATCGGGAATAGGTTTTATGTTGTGCTGTAGTTACCATGGAAACTTTCTGGACGGGTAAGGTGGACTGGTCAAGTGTTGCGTGTGATGGACAGGCAAGCTATAGGTGCTTGCGGTTGCAGTGTGAACTGACTGTGGTCAAAACCTTAGTCGTGTATCATGTGGTGCTGCTCGTATTTATGCTGCAATGATTCTAAAAAGCTAGTTTTTTTTCTTTTACTGCTGTTTTATGCTTCCTTAGGGTTGAGACATAGTGATCAAGTCCCCCCGCCCCTCCGTGTAACATGCTCAAATCTAGGGACCTCCTCAACATTAGCAAGAGCGCACCAATTATAGCCGATCGGTGTTCTAACTGATACGCTCTTAGTGTTTTTCCGATTGTTTTTCCGTCGTGTGTATTTGTAGTACGTACCATATAATAACTCTGTATGTATGTTATGTAGTGATTGCAATGTCGATGTGTTGTAAATAGGCGTCCGTGGATGTGAGCAAGCAGTTTTATGTAAACATTTAGGTATTCTTTTTTACCTGTCAAGCGAATACTCGGTGATTTAAGTGGTGCGATTGTGAAATGGACATTTGAAGTCATGCCAGTAAAAAGTGTTATCAAGACTAATATACACACACATATATATATATATATATATATATATATATATATATAATATGCCATTCTCCGTCGTAAACACCTTGTACAAACGTGGTGTTTGCCGAGCCTACTGTCTTCTACTTGTTCTATGATGATTTTTTACAAGTGCGTATTCTTTTATAATAAGCAAATTTTCAGGTATTTGCCATCAAATTTTTCTACATATTTTTTTCACCTTCTGTCTCTGTGTGCTGTACCAGTGTGATAGATTGTTTTGACACGATATGCGAAATGGAATGTTTTTTTTCATTTCGTTAGTACTACTAGAATTTGATTTGTGTTAGAACTAGCTGCTGTTTTGTGACATGATGTATATGACATATATGTATAGCAGAGCACGTATATCATACAGAGCACGTATATCATATGATACACGTGTTCTGTGTATAGTAAACACATGATTTACATGTTTGCCTTGCTCGTGATCAATGATGGCCTAAACAGGATGGCTGAGGTGTTATATTTAGAAAGAAAATACTTTATTCATACGAAACACAACGTCACATGTAAACATAAACTCATGCGTGACAATAACTGCAAAATATAATGTGAGGCTATCAACTAAAACTGGTTTGTCACATTCAGTTTAGCATTGTAAAATACACTTTGAACGCATTTTGCGTGACATCATTGAACGAAAACAGTCGTAGAAAGAAATTCGGTAGTTTTTTTTAGAAGAGAAGATACAATTTCATCATCAGAGGGATAATTTGGATTGTAAAAATTTGTGCTGGCGCCTTTGTGGGGCTATGCTGGTTCGAACCAACATGACTCTTCCCCACAAAGCATAAAAGATTCATTCGAAAATATATTATAATATGATAACGGCAAACCACAATAAATATAAACATATATTATTTAAAAAATCTTTACAAATGTACACATATCCACAGATTTACAGCCAAGTCTATAAGCTAATCTAATTAATAGGATAAGAGAACACATGTTCCTTTCGTCCCTTTCCTGACCCATCAGGTTACATGTGAACAGAAAGCATATCACCTCCATAGAAGTCTATCTAACATATAATCAGGAGTCTATCAATATTGATAGACTCCTGATATAATAAGACGGTGCACTGTCTCTCCATCTCGTTCTCTCTCTAGTTCAATCTGACCATCTCTCTTTCTCGTTCAGCTCGCGCTTCTCTCGTTCTCTCTTTCTCTCTTTCTCTCTCTCTCTCTCTCTCTCTCTCTCTCT